GTATTGGACCAATACAAGGCTCCTTTGACTGCCGTTGTAATTTATTAAACATTAATATTTCAAAAACTATAAGTTTTACAGGCAAAAAAAAAAAGGCATTGCCATCATTTAGCACAGGGGCTTTACAGATATAAATTACAATGGCAGCTCTAGGACAAAGTATGCAGGAGGAGAAGCATGGCAAAGTTGAGATGACTTGGATGGGAAACGAATCACAATAGTGTGCATTGCATTGGCAATGCACACTGCTTAGAGTTGAGCTCCAGTATCGGTGCTTTTAACGGCGTTTGATTTAACATAGCAGCATAAACTGCATCAGCTGAAAGCAAATTCTTCAGTCTGTGATAAATTTCCAAACTCCGCCGTTAAAAAAACATTGTAATATTTTAAACAGAACCAGAGATATGCCTTAATTTGTTTTGTTGATTATGATGATAAATTAATATTTGGTCTGATTCCTAATTTTCTGTTATTTTTGTGAGGATTTTTTATTTCCTTATGAAGAGGAAGTATCAATATTTGAATATTGATATTTTCCAGCTGGAAAGAAACAAACACATCTCTAGCTCACAGGGAAAATCTCAAAATTAAAAAGTGTTTTTTCCCTCAAAATCTAGTTTTTTTTTGTTGCTACTGCTCAAAGAATGTGCTTCAAAAATTTTTATGATTATATATCACAAAGTTTATTCAAATAAAACATTGTTAAGGCATTTATTTGTTATATTTTGACTAAAAGCAATTTTTGTAAGTGTTTTAATCAAAAACACTGTTTGCCTATTTCGCCGTATACCACTTTTAGACTTAATCATCGTTTTGATGTGATGGGTCACAAATAAGGCCTTAATTAGCTTTAAAAGGTCTTAAATCAATCTTTCAGAAGTCTTTAAAATGTTAACACATTATGACGATGATTGTAATTCATCTCAAATATTAAAGAATTTGTAACATTTATTTATCTTTTTAAATAATGGACCAAAGTCCTTTCGCAGCTCATTGTTTTGTGTTAAAATAAACATTTGGGTAAAGTTGTCAGTTTTTTTTTTCCATTTGTTTTTATTGTGAAATTGGTCTTTAATTTTATTCCAAGTGGAATTAAAAAGTCTTAAAAAGTCTTAAATTGAATTTATTTTAAGCCGTATGAACCCTGTATTAGCGGTTTAGCTTTAGCTTGTCATTAGCACAGCTAAGGTATTATTTTGGCTAGCCATGCCCACCACTGTTCATTTGTTCCTTATTTTCTTCAGTGTTTTTCTGACTCCTTCCTGTCTCCTACCAGTTGGTCACTATGAAAACGGCCTCCTTAAAGCTGAGAATGGAGTCTCTGCTCGAACAAAGAAGCTGAAATCCCCCTAAGACGACGCTAACGGACCTCCGCTGTGGCTTTAGCCTCGGTATCGGTGAAGCCGGCGACCGCTGGCCGCCGAGCTTTAACCTGGAACGTCCCGTTACGTCACCGGGACTCTGTCGCTACGGACTTGAGCTTGAATGCTGGAAATCTAAGGAAATACTCTGAGCCCAACGAACATTTACTCCTCTCACTGTATCAGTATTTTTTACTTTTGTTTTTTTGTACATCCACGTAGCCTGCAAGTGCATCATTAGGGCGCATGTTTGCATGCAGAGAAATGAAAAGCAAGCACAGTGTGTTTACGTATTTGTCCATGTTGAATGTTCATATTCTCGAACAGACCGCCGGGCCGGACGGGGTATAACAAACTTAGTAGCAAGAGTTATACGTTTCCCTGGTCACATAACAGATTTGCATCAAATATGTTGGATATTACCGCATGCCATTCCATGTCAGTTTATTTTTTTTTCCTTTTGTTAATGACTTTATTAAATAATACAACTTTCCGAAAAGTTGTGGAATTATTTTCTGCATCAAAGCTTTATCTCATTTGTCAAAAACGTTTAATACAAATCTCATCGAAATCTTTTAATTGCACAAGGTTTAAGCTCAAAGTGGCATTTTTGCAAAATCTTTCATGTTGAGTTTAATGCAGGAGGAAGGGGAAAAATGTACTTTTCTGAATATTATTATGCAATATTAAGCAGTTATCGCACATAGCAGGTTTTCCTAATATTGTGCAGTCCTAATTCAGGGGTCCTGGAGAGGAGGGTCCGTCGGATAGTCGAATCTCGGATTCAGGAAGAGCAGTGTGGTTTTGGTCCTGGTCGTGGAACAGTGGACCAGCTCTACACCCTCAGCAGGATCCTGGAGGGTTCATGGGGGTTCAATCAGTCTACATGTGTTTTGTGGACTTGGAGAAGGCGTTCGATCGTGTCCCTCAGGGACTCCAATGGGGGGGTACTCTGGGAGTATGGGGTACCAGGCCCATTGATACGGGCTGTTAGGTCCCTGTGGGCCAGAGCTTGGTCCACATTGCCGGTAGTAAGTTAGACTCGTTTCCGGTGAGAGTTGGACTCAGCCAAAGTTGCCCTTTGTCACCGATTCTGTTCATAACTTTTATAGACAGAATTTCTAGATGCAGCCAAGGTGTTGAGGGGATCCGTTTTGATGACCTCAGGATCACATCTCTGCTTTTTGGGGATGATGTGGTCCTGTTGGCTTCATCAGATCCTGATGTCCAGCTCTCACTGGAGCGGTTCACAGCCGAGTGTGAAGCAGCCAGGATGAGGATCAGTGTCTACAAATCTAAGACCATGGTCTTGAGCCGGAAAAGGGTAGAATGCCTACGCCGGGTCGGGGAGGAGGTCCTGCCTCAAGTGGAGGAGTTTAAGTATCTCGGGGTCTTGTTCATGAATGAGGGAAGAATGGAGCGGGAGATCAACAGGTAGATTGGTGCTGCGTCTTCAGTGATGCGGGCATTGTACCGGTCTGTCGTGGTGAAGAGAGCTGAGCCAGAAGGTGAAGCTCTCAATTTACTGGTCGGTCTACGTTCCTACCCTCATCTGTGGTCAGGAGCTTTGGGTAGTGACTGAAAGAACGAGATCACAGATACAAGCGGCTGAAATGAGTTTCCTCCGCAGGGTGTCTGGGCTCTCCCTTAGAGATAGGCTGAGAAGCTCAGTCATCCAGGAGGGACTCAGAGTAGAGCCGCTGCTCCTCCACGTCGAGAGGAGCCAGTTGAGGTGGTTCGTCTGGTTAGGATGCCTCCTGGACCCTGGTGAGGTGTTCTGGGCACGTCCCACTGGGAGGAGGCCCAGAGCAAGACCCAGGACACGATAGAGGGACTATGTTTCTCTGCTAGTCTGGGAACACCTTGGGATTCCCCCAGAGGAGCTGGTCCAAGTGGCTGGGGAGAGGGAGGTCTGGGTCTCTGCTTAGACTGCTGCCCCCGAGACCTGACCCCAGAAAACAGACGGATGGACGGACAGACGAAAATAAGGTGTGTTCAAAACAATCTTATTTTTAGAAGCACCTATCTGAAGCTGTTTGCTAACTTTATTAGGGTCAACACTTTAAATTCAGTTTCAAAAGTTTTTTTCAATTTAGTGAAATTAATTTTAAAGCAGTGCATTCAATTTCAAATTATGCAAACGCAGGTTCAAGTTGAGCAATTCAAATTGAAGTTTCTGATGACGCAAGCTTCTCCTAATATATATTTTTTCATTTTAAGAAAATTTGAACAATCCTGCAAAAAGTTTTGCAAAAAAAAAAAAAAACGAATGAATTTGAACTTCCAAAACAGTTTTTTTTATGTACAGAAAAAAATGCATTTCAGGAAAAAGGAGAGTTTACTTAATTTATTTTATTACATACCAAGTGATTAAGCGTGATTGGTTAAATGTATATGCCTTAAAAGGCTACACTTTAAGCTCTGGTTGTGGGTCACGACGTTTGATGTAAGGATCCTCTGGCGTCGGCTCCGGATCGTTCAGGATTATGCCTTCACTTGTCAGGAATTCCTGTTCAAATGACGATAAAAGACCCAAACGAGGGTTTCTCATTATTCCTGTGCCAAACAAAGCAAAACGTTGTAACCCAATGAGCGGTGTACCTTTGTGAAGGCCGTGCAGTCCGTGATGTGGTACTTGACCCCGTACACTGACAGGTCCATGCCCAGATTGAGGTCTTTCCACAGGTAAAAATCCCCACGCTCATTCTTTGGAAAACGATGGCGTTTGAGCCGCACCCCATGTGGAAGCCCCGAATTCTTCACTCTGGGCTCGTACATGCACATGCTGTCGTCTTCGAGGTAGTAGTTAATGATGACGGAGCGAACACGGCTATCTTCTTCAGAAGAATAWAGCACATCCTCCAAAAAATACGCATAAAATTGGAGCACCTGCAAGACAAACAGGAAATACACRAGCTGATGAGTGGAAAAAGACGTTTTTAATTAGTTCCAGGTGTTTTTGGTTTGATCAGACCTGCTTGTCGAGGGYTACATAAGCTGGGATGAAGTCTTGCTGTATGGTCTTGTCAGGCGGGTCATCTCTAATGGCCGCTATCTTCCAGGACAACTCATCCATCTGTTGCTGAATCAGCATCTCTGAAAATAGGGGCTCCTGGCCGATGCCTACAGTGGGTCGGTGTGCCAAAGGGTAACCATTCTTATACCCTAGAGTCTGGGGCCGATGGAAGGACGACTTCTGCAGACACAAATCATTTAGGAGGGAATAAAGT